GAAAAGAAAAGCAAGAGAAAGGATATGAAAGCAAACATTAATGACTCAGAGGAGGAGTTAGCAACTTCTTTTCTACAGAGTCAGTTAGGAAATATTTCAGGCTTTCTGGCCCGTGGTTGGCAAACTGCGGCTCGCGAGCCACATCCGGCTCTTTGGCCCCTTGAGTGTGGCTCTTCCTAAGCCTTAGGAGTACCCTAATTAAGTTAATAACAATGTACCTACCTATATAGTTTAAGTTTAAAAAATTTGGCTCTCAAAAGAAATTTCAATCGTTGTACTGTTGACATTTGGCTCTGTTGACTAATGAGTTTGCCGACCACCGTTCTGGGCCATCAGCTCTGTCACAGCCACACAACTCTGCCTTTGTAGCACAAAAGCAGTCACAGACAATATGTAAATGAATTCTTTATTTACCCCATGAGTATGGTCCTACCTAGCTGGATCTACAACATCACTATCTTTTTTCTTTTTTTTAATTACTTTCCCTGTTTTGGACACATTACAAATGATTGGATATACCAAGCCAATTTCTGGCTTGACCAACTACAAGTACGAACTTCTCAGGCTAATGGTTTGTAAGACAAGTAGGCAGACTTCAGACATAACTCCTCCAAGAGAGAACAGTTATAATATTTATCATTTTGTGGGAAAATATGAGAAACAATGTTAAATTATTTGTGGCCTTTGACTATCTTTTGTTTGGACTTTAATTCTGTAAACAGGAATCAGCTATGGGGGATGTTTTATAAGGTCACTGAAGAGCTCAAATGATGCATGCAATTCGAATCCTGCATCATAAAGTACCCTCAGGCCTTTCTACCAGGGAATAGAGAGAAGAGTGCTCTATCCCCGCTTTTTTTGATTTTAATTCACAGTGAATACCTGAGCTGTGGTCAAAGAAGCTGCTTTCCTTATTATTGGGCACATTCGTAGAATGCTGTGTGTGACAGTGGTTTTCTCCACACAGATGAAGTCAGAACCTCTTGGGTGGAATGTGGATATCATCATCATTCTTTATTTCCTCCTTTTTAATTAATTTATATATTAAATATATTTTTATTGATTTCAGAGAGGAAGGATAAGGAGCAAGAGATAGAAACATCAATGATGAGCAAGAATCATTGATTGACTGCCTCCTGCACATCCCATACTGGGATTGAGCCAGCAACCTGGAAATATGATCTGGCCTGGAATGGAACCATGACCTCCTGGTTCATAGGTCGATACTCAACTACTGAGCCATGCTGGCTGGGGGGTTTTAAATTTCTTTTTAAATTTCGTTCTTGTTGAGAGTATTACAAATGCCCCCCTTCCCCCCTCCATTGCCCCACTCCACCAGGTTCCCACCCCACCCCAGGCCTTCATGGCACTATTGTCTGTGCCCATGGATTATGCATATATGCATAGAAGTTCTTTGATTAATTTATTCCCGCTAAGAGCTGCAGTGAGTATGAGAGGGAGACCTCAGGAAGACAGGAGCAGGACCCATCCTCTTCTACTATTTACCTTCAAAGGGGGCAGCCTCTCCACCTGGTTGGCCATAAATTTGTCTGGGAAACCCCAGTAGATGACAGAACAAAAGGCCTTATAGAGATTTCTGTGTCCCTTCCCACTAGGGGGAGCTGTGGAGTTGATAGAGCTGGCCTCTCAGTGGCATCCTCACAAGACCATGGGGCCTTTCTAAGGAACCTGACCTTCATTAGGCCCTGTGCTCTATGGGTTAATGCGCTCACACATGGTCTGCTCAGGAGGCCTCTCTGTCCTGCCAGTGCTCACGTAGTGCAGCTCACATTTCTGATCCCCTGGAAGTTAGTTCTAGCTGTCTATAATGACTACCCTTAGGGCTCAGCTGCCTCAAGTTTGGGGTGAGAGATAGGAGGCGTCACAGAATGCTCAATCCATCACTACAGGGGAGCTCTGAGTACAACAGTCCATTCCTGGTCTGTACCTCTATGAGCCAGCACCCCCGTGTGGAAGGGGAGAGGTGGTAAGTTTCAGGCACCCTCATCCCCAGACAAAGTTGGTAGTTTATTAGGACTAGAATCCACATCTCTTGACTCCCAGACTAGCATTCTTTGTGGCCCCCACATCATACAGTTTTCATATTTCGCCTGTGGTCCTGAGATACAGAGCAGAGGGGCATGCAAACCTACCTGCAGGTGCAGTTGTTACCATGACTTGCACTGAGTGCTGCTCCGGCGACCCCAGCAGGGTGATATTCGCTGTGTAATCAGTTGCCGGGTACAGGTCCAAACACACCACCAAAGCTCGTTCCCCCGTTGTGAAGTTAAATGATGCTGCGTGATAAAAATCACTCAGATACCACCTTCGGCCCAGAATTTTAAACTGTTGTGAGATTAAAAGAACGCATTGCATTACCTTTTCTGCCGGCTTGCAGCTATCTAGACTAGAAGCAAAATATCTATAAAACAAGAAGTTTCCTTCTATTGGTTCTGACCCAGTTAGAAGTATGTTTAATGTAGTAGCAAGCTAACCTGGGGAAGGACTTTACAAAGCTGCCCTACCTAGTCTATGCGACTTCCCCCTCAAACAGCTACAGACTAAGTTTAGCATGCACAACTTGCTCATCAGATGAGCAAGATGTCTGGCTATTCTAAGATGATCCCTTAATGCCTACCCAGTGAAGGAGATTGCCCTGAAGCTGTTGGGCAAAGTTATTTTAAATTCTTTCCATTCCTAAGAAATCCATAGATAAGCCTCAAGGAACAGTTTTAAACTTATGAGAACTACTTCAAATTATGCATTCGAAGCAACTGTGCAGTGTTACTTCACTTGTTCTTTTCTAGTTGAGCTCTGATAAAAATAAAAAAAAAGACAACAAAAACCCAATGATACCCCCTCCATCACCAAACTCAAGTTGCAGGTATAACATAGGGACTTTTAAGGGCAAATATATGTGAGGGTCCCAGAAGTAATGTAATGTGATCAACCTTTGAACGGTCAGTGTGCTTTAGCTGGGTGTTCATGTGGTTAGAGTTTCCTTTGATGCTCATGTTATTGGCTATCCCACCCGCTATCCTTCCTCATCACTGTTATTCTCCCACAGTCATCCAACACTCATGGGAGAGTCCTCTCTCCCCAATTCCCAGCATTCTCTTGTGTAATTTAAATGTTTTTATACATAAGTCATCAAAACCTGGCCTCAGAGTACCTTGAGCTCAATGCTATGAAGTTCTTTCACTGAACTTCAGTGACTCAGATCCACAGTCACATCCTAGACTGTGTCATCATCAGAGTTGCTCCACCAACATCTCATAATTGTCTGCACTGCTCACTCCCACTAGAGATGATCTCTCTCAAGAAATCCCTCAAAATTTCCTCACTCATAATTTTCTATCAAGTTCTAGCCTGTTTTGCTCAGTGGTCACGTCATCGATTCCAGTCAAGGGCACGTACTTTGGTTGCAGGCTTGATCCCCAGCCCTGGTTGGGGCACATGCAGGAAGCATCCAATTGATGTGTCTCCCTCATATCGATGTTTATCTCTCTGTCTCTCCCTCTCCCTTCCACTCTCTCTAAAAATCAATGGGAAAATATCTTCAGGTGAGGATTAACAAAAACAAAAAAGAAACAAAAGATATAAAAGGAACTAGGATGGTAGAGTGGACCTGAGAATTTGTAACTTTTGGCTGCCCAGGGTCCATCTGCTTGTTCTAGTAGCACTGTGGCTTCCTACTGGGAAAGCACCACTTTAGTGTGAGCATGAAAGCATATGATTCTCAACAAATACTTCTGTCATCTTCAAAAAAATTCTGTATTTTAAAACGCTTTTAGTTACTGTCATGTGTAGATGCTCTATCTTAAAGGAGCTGATTTTTGCCTGAGTTTGTCTGTATTCATACCATACATACACAGTATGGGTTTTTCACTCAATATTTTGTTTTTGAGACTTATCCATGATGAATTATTTTGATGTAGTCTATTCATTCTTAGCACCTATATAATATTCAGTTTTATGACTGTATTATAAAATGGCTGAGTAGCAGTAATTTCAGATAATTCAACCAAACATCAAAATTCTCTATTTTCCAACTGACGAACTTTTAAGTTATTTTCAATATTTAATATTGTAAGCAATGATGTAATGAAAATCCAATTATATATCCCTTAAGTGCAAGTAAAAAATGTCTCTAAGGTACATACTAAAAAGTAGAATTGCTGGGTCTTAGGGTGTGTACAACTTCTTTTTAACTATGTGGTATTTTCTTAACCACGTAGCTGACCAATTGTCTCAGAACCATTTATTTCCGTACTCGTTTGAAAGATCATTTTTTATCCTATATTAAATTATTTGGGTACTTGAATATGTTTCTAGGCCCAGTGTTCTCTCGAATATGAAAAATTGAATATTTCACTCACCTGCGTAAAATCCTTCAGTGCTTCCACATAGGCATCAACATAAGATCAACACATAAACGTACACGATACAGGGCTTTTCATGATCTGGCCACTGCTTAGACTTGTGCCTCATCTCTTCCCACCTCCCCTTAGTTTCTCTGTTCCCCAAGAGAGTCACGTCCTCTATTACTCAATTTGCTACTTTACTTGCCCAGTGTGCCCTTCTTCACCCTCACCCACCTCTTTAACTGGTTAATTCTTGCTCATTCTCCTTGATTCAACACCATCTTTACTTCTTGTTTTTAAAAAATTGTACCTGGTCACACACACATATACACAATATCCTATTCGTTTATTTACTTTTTATAAAATCACTCATTATGTCATATTGTAATGGTCTGTTTAACTGTATAATTAGTTTGAATCAGAATTTCCAGGTCCCAATACATGATACAGTTTTGTTAAGTGATAAATAAATTAATTAATTTTAATTTAATACTTAGTCTATTCATTGCCAGATGATTTGCTAGGCACTGAAAATATGGCACAAAAATAACAAATCTCAGTTCCTGCCTGAACTTATTCATAATTTTACTTGAGATTTGTAATGCATAAAAAAGTCAACTTAAAATGAGGACCAACAGCCATGCAATAAGTTTCTTAAAAAACCCACATCCAAGTGTGAACTTAATAGCAAAATAAGCTGCAATTATTAAATGCACTAAATTATAATACCAGACAGGGAAATTATAAAATACTAGACAGGGAAAATGACAGCAAGTCCCCTAATAGGGTCTCCCTTCAATTTAGTCCCTCACTTGTATCCATCTCACATCTCATATCCACCGCTAGAAACAAAAATCAAACTGTCTAGAAGTTCATTTCATGTGTGGTTCCAAACTTTGAATCCTCACTTAGAGAGCACCCAAATTTTCAAGTGGCCCAATTCTTTAATAAATAACATAAAAGATCTTACTTGGTACATTTGTTCTGATCCAACTTTCCTAGAATGCCTGTTCAATTTCAAACAAGTTTCATTAAATAGTGAGACATTGAAAATTCCATCATCTTCTAAGAGATCATCTTCTAAAAAATAAGAGAGAACATATGGAAAGGTTGCATCATCTTAGCAAAACGTATCGTGGCTAATAACAATTGAAATGTTGACATCTTAAGAGAGCCAATAGGATTTTAACAGCAAGAGCGTTGCATTTGGCTTCAAGTCCTGGCTCTACAGCTTCTTAATTGTATGACCTTAGCTAACCCACTTAGCCCCTCTGAACCTGTTTCCCAATTTGTGAAATCAAGTCATCCAGTTTGCTTCTCTTACATCATAGGCTATTGAGAGTACCAAATGAAAAAAAAATGCATTTAAAAAAATTGCTGTAAGCTAATAAAGCTGTGGTATTTTTAGAAAGTTAATCCTATCACTTGGATGGTCCATAAGTAAAATGCCAAGTTTTAAGCACATAAATGGCCAGAAAAATCTGAGACTAGGAAAAAGGTGAATAAAGGCAAAGGCCATGGAATAGAACTCTCAGAGTGAGTGTTTCCAACCTCGAAGATGATGAGAAAGTAGGTGACTAGTGAGATGCGTGTGCTCACAGCAGACAGTAAATCAGGAGAGCTACTCATATGAGTACTAGGGCAGTAAAATAACCAGAAACAGACTTATTTCACCCACTATACAGAAAAAAGGAATTTCATGCCTCCTGTAGCCGAATTCATTCTGTCAATGCTCCATTTTCTTAATGTAATCAAAAGAAGAGGTTGGTAATGAATAAAGAACTCACAAAGAGCCTGGGAGTACCACAGCTAATTTTCAAGGAAAAGCAAATTTCCTACCACACAAGCCTGCGTGTTTTCTATAAGTGAGAAAAACTTGGAATGTTTGTCAGAAGGAAGCTTTTTATAAACACCTTTTATGTATATTTCTCCCACAGGAGTCTCTGCTACCTAAGAATTAATGATGATTACAGTAAATTATTCTACTCAAAATCAGAACTGTCCACAGAATGGTAACCGTCACGGGCATTTGCAGCACAAGGCAATTAGCTGGGAGGAAATATTCTTGGCTGTAACCGGAAATGTGGAAATACGGCTATGAGAGAGAATCTGAAGGCCTATCATGTGTTCTCCTTCATCTTCACAGCTTTTATGTTAAAGGTTTCCTAAGGACATCAGAAATAAAAACTGTCGCATGTATGCAAATGACTTTGAGGCACATCAAATGTATGTTAAGAAATATCACATGTGGTCAATGTGCACAAACAGAACATAAAGCAAGACTGCCGTCTGCATAGCTCCCCTCTCCACAGGATTTTCCCACTTACAGCCATTATCATCTGAATCCAGGGGATGATAGCAACGTGAATAAAGGCATCTGGTTCCCACTTCCCACTGCAATCCAGAGAGAAGTGACTGGGGACTGTAAAACTGGGTCAGAATTTGCATCTGGGTTGGGAAGAAGGGTGGGTTGCCGTACAAAAGGCAGAAACATGAAGACGGTTCAGCTTAGCACCGTGTGGAAGGGAGTGGGGGAGAAAGAAAGACACTGAGAGATACTGTGCAACTTGCCTTCCAAGCAAAGGACATGGTCTCAAAGCCTCAAAGGATGGAACTGGAGGAAGCACAGTATCCACAGAGGTGGGAGCTGGAAGCTAGAACAGGCCACAGGGCAATAAAGTGATGAATTCCCCATCTGCAGCCATTTATCCCAGGGGTTCCCAATCCTAACTGCACATCAGAATCCCCCGGACATAGCAGATCTAAAGTAAAGGTTGAACATCTTTTCTTTTCCTTGTTTGTTTGTTTGTTTTTTAATTCATCAAGCAATCTGATAGGCAGGCAGAGTAAACAGTATATGTACTACTATTACCACTACTATTGATAATGATAGTCCCTCTTTAGCACACTGGAGATCTTCTAAGGGGAGGCCTAGAACCTGGAGGTTCCATCAGCCTGGGTTGGCAAAAGGAGAGACTTGGTTCTTTCCTGCCTTCATAGGCTGTAAGATCACAATGAAGCTGGGCAATGCTGAGCTGGCCCAAGAGTAACAACATTACCAATCAGAACAGCAAAGTGCTCTGAAATAAAGTTCAGGGCAATGGGTTTTCTCATAGCTGCTCCCCAAAGGACACTAGATCATCCAACTTACAGTAAATCCTTCAAGATGAGATCCTTCAGTATGAGATAAGCATGCTAATATTATCCAATAAAAAGTAAGATCAAAGGCAATGGCATCTGTTTTAAAATATATGTGTGTATATATATATATTTTTGAGTTTTATAAAGAAAAAGGAAGGTAGAGGGAGAGAAAGAGAGATCAAGAGAAACATTGATGCAAGAGTGAAAAATCGGTCCGCTGTCTCCTGAACACTCCCTACCGAGGATCAATCTCACAACCCAGGCATGTGCCCCACTGAGGAATCAAACCTGCAACCCTTCAGTGCAAGGGACAATGATGCCTAACCAACTGAGCCACACTGGCCAGGGCAATAGCATCCATTTTATCCAAAAAAATGTCACACCTAATAAAACTTTTATCTTCCAAGAATCAATAATCCAGAAGGGGGTGGAGCCCATAAAATGGTCCTACCAAGAGCAAAGGGGAGATTGTGTTTAGAAGGCAAAGAATGAACATACTTTAGGGAGGAGAAATATTGAGCAAAATAATAACAAAGTTAGGCAACATGTGTTATATACTTTCAGTAAAAAAATTTTAAAGATGGGTTCAAACAGATAAAGGATGAAATAATAAGAAAGTGCACTAACAGAGGGGACATTGGTTAAGAGAGGCAGAAATAACAAGGGAACCGGATGAGATAAAGAAGCAAAAGGAAACGAAAGTGCAACAACAGAATATAAAGTGCATTAGAAATGATAGCGATCAGAAACGTCAATGCACATGTGCATGAATGCACACAGAGAACGAACGTGCCCCATCCTCAGAAGACAGAGGAAAAAGACACGGACATAACATGAGAGAAAATGATC